AATTTTGGTGGCGTCACTTGAACCGTTCTAGAGTTATGGCCTTTTACAAATGGAAAAATTGCTAAATTTTTTGTTTCCGTTCTCCAACTTCAGTTTGCTTCAACTAAATGTTATGAAACGTATACACAATGCTTACTTATATTTCCACAAAACTCAGATCAAGTACAAATTTGGGTAGGGTCACTTTTACAGTTCTTGAGTTATGTCCCTTTATAACGTTATATGCAAGCGGGGGCATCAGCTGTGTCCCATGGACACATTCCCCATTTATTTTTTCTTATATTTAAATATAAAATGATAAAATCTTATTATATTTCAAATTTGAGATAAATCCTATGAGAAATAAAAAAGTTATTAGCATTTTCATTTTGGTCCTGACAGCCATTGTCCAGTCATTAGTGTAACTGAAATAGCTATTAATGCTTTCAGCAGAGTATACAGACATCTGCTTAATATGCCCCTGCTCCAAAAGGAGGGGGTATACTGGTTTATATCTGTCTATCCGTCCAATGAAATTTGTTTTGCACTTTTCAAAGGAGCTCCAAATAATTTTAAAATCTTCCTGAAATTTTGTATCAAGCTTGTGTGAACATGGTATACTGTGTTAAACATTTTTAGATTCATTTCTAAACAACTTTCCTGCTTACCAAATACTTATATGTTCTAACACATGAATTTATCATTTCAATCAAAAGAAAAAAATATGAATAATGACATTTTCTGGTTGCTAATGGTCTTCTTTCTATTTTGCCAAAACAAGGAACAGTGTAAAACCTCAAAAGCCTCTGGTTTATATTAAATCATGGAAAATAAAAGGAGAAAATAAGTCAGAATTGATTCAAAAATTAAAACCAAAAACCAAACACATCTACACAGAAAGAGGAGTGCCTGAGTTTAAAGTAAAAATTTGGTGAAAATAAACAGCAACTTTTAACTGGTCCCTGGTTATTGTATAACATGGTGTATAATTTCCATGGGTGCAACAATTTTCTGGGACCTTTGAGACCAAAAGTTTGGAAAACCAAAAATAATTACAAATTGAATGTCAAATATTGAATTGAACATGATAAACCACAAAGAACTAGACAGAACTTCTAAAACTATCTTCTGTAAACTTTGCCTGAGGGCATTGCAATCTTATTTTTAATATGCGATAATGACATAATTGTATTAGCTGGAAATTTACCGATATAATGTGTATCATTAAATCATGCTAATACTGAAAAAACTGGCTACAAGATAGATCATACATACCCTTAGGGACTGAAATTCACAAGCAGTGGTGACTTGATTCTGTGGAATGAAAAAATCATATGTGATTTTGTGGGCTTTTATGTTTTATTATATTTCTTGAAGTATTTTTCAAATATGTAAAAGGAAAATAAACAGGTCTATTTAAGAACATTTTTTCGCATGCCAATATTACCTCACTTATTTTCCTGGATCCTGATTACAAAACATTTGGCCCCTGAAGTAGTAACTATAAATAGTATTTTAGATATCCAAGTCATGAACTTTCCGTATATTTTGATTCAATATCAGTTTTGCTGGTTAAATACAAGAAATCATGTTTGCTTGTGTAAAAGAAATGTATTGCTAGTATATTCACTGATTTTACCTTATTTTGCATTTCCTTAAAAGTTCTAAAATAACTGGTAGTTCTATGTTCCATGAACACTTCCTACACAGATATATAATCTCAAAGAAGTATATATCTGTCAGTATTTGCTGACTGCCAGCTTGTACTTATAGATTAACGTGGGTCATCTCAACGAGATTGATTTTCTCGCTTGAGCCGGTACGGCGAAAGTGAGAAAAGCAATCGAGTTGAGATGACCAATGATAATCTGTTTATTGCTATTTTACCTATGACGACGTTGTTCATTTCATTGACAACGGCACGTGCGCCCTTAGTTTCTAGCAATTATTTTTCATATCACTCTACTGTGCTGAGAAAGGAAATTATCAGTTAGTAAGATCAAAGGAAAATTACGTAAAATAGCGATAATGAAATTTACCCAATATATTTGTTTGAAACCTACAGATATTCATGTCCAATTCAGACTACCACCACATTGGGCCTTCCATTGTTAAATATCTGCCAGGTTCACCAGTGATCAGATATTAAGTGGAAATTGTAAAATCTGATCCTTAATCTAGGTAGCAGTTCCATTGTATTCAAACATCTTTGAACTTTGCTTAACATGTTAAGTAGACTTTAGAGTTTGACCTATTGTTAAAGTGTAATAACTTGAAGCAATTTAGTAGTACTACCGACAATGATACTTTAGATATTAACTTAAATAGGTGGATCAGCTTTTTGCACTACTAACTGAATCTGCGATATAATACAGGTAAATAAGTTCCTTTTTCTCTTGTCTGTCTGTGATTGTAGGTTTATATATAAGCCATATAATTCTGTTCATACATTTATATTAAGTGTTATCAGTTCATTTAGGGTATCGATGTTGTTCAAGCTTGTCAAATAGAGATTGGGTTTTCCCAAAGCCATTAAAACAATTACCTGGGCTCCTTTTTGCACTCAAGACTTTTATGATGGTAATGGATTTTGTAGATAGATTTATATCTGCAACAACATTAGCAACATTTGCATGATTTGATGCAAGTTGCATGTGATGGAAGTTAACTGTTGTATTGTCACTATTGAATACCAGTTTCATTTCTTATTCATCAAATTAATGAATAAAGATAATTGAATTTGATAAGATTAGTCTGCCTTTGTCTCCGAGCTGCACAGATATAAGTCATAAATCTTTGGAAATTTTCTGTTTTACTTGTATTGAGTGTATTGTTTCTGAAGTTAGTTAGCTGTAGAAACAGATAATCAGATAATAGCTATATAGACATTACTTAACCTGTTGGATGGAGCACTTTCCAATTCTTTGATGAAATGAGATGTGGGGTATATCTCTCAATGAGACAGCAATCCAACCAAACAACTCAAGAATCCAAAAGTAATTAGAGATTAAAATACAGCCTTCAACAATAGACAATTGTCTTTAAAATGTGTCAAGCTCTATTAAAATGGCACTGATGAAAACAAGTTGACATTTCAAGATTTGCCTGTTTTATAAAAGTTTGACAAGTACCCCGGTATATCCTAGCCGACCGTGCAAGACCCACATGGGTAGTCAAGGTCGTTAAAAAAAAACTTGTCATCGGTATATCTCAGGAATCCCAAGATAAAATTTTCATTGTCTCAAATTAATGCATGTCTTGAAAATTAAAGTATTGAATTTTTTAATCCTTGGTTGTCTCAGATTTTTATGTCTAGGTCTCTAAAAGGAATTGATGAAATTGGATTATTTTTTATTGTCGAGCCTGCGACTTTTGTCGCAGAAAGCTCGACATAGGGATAGTGATCCGGCGGCGGTGGCGGCTGTGGCGGCGGCGGCGGCGGCGTTAGCTAACTTCTTAAAAGCTTTATATTTTAGAAGGTGGAAGGTCTGGATGCTTCATACTTTGTATATGGATGCCTCATGTTATGAAGTTTCCGTCAGTCACATGCCCAATGTCCTTGACCTCATTTTCATGGTTCAGTGACTACTTGAAAAAAAAGTTAAGATTTTTTGTAATGTTAGATTCTCTCTTATTATAAGCAATAGGATAACTATATTTGGTATGTGCGTACCTTGCAAGGTCCTCATGCCCGTCAGACTCCCGTCACTTGACCTCAACCTCATTTCATGGATCAGTGAACAAGGTTAAGTTTTGGTGGTCAAGTCCATATCTCAGATACTATAAGCAATAGGTCTAGTATATTCGGTGTATGGAAGGACTGTAAGGTGTACATGTCCAACTGGCAGGTGTCATCTGACCTTGACCTCATTTTCATGGTTCAGTGGTTATAGTTAAGTTTTTGTGTTTTGGTCTGTTTTTCTTATACTGTATGCCATAGGTCTACTATATTTGGTGTATGGAATGATTGTAAGGTGTACATGTCTAGCGGGCAGGTGTCACCTGACCTTGACCTCATTTTCATGGTTCAGTGGTCAAAGTTAAGTTTTTGAGTTTTGGTCTTTTTTTCTAATACTATATGCAATAGTTCAACTATATTTGGTATGTGCGTACCTTGCAAGGTCCTCATGTCCGTCAGACAGTTTTCACTTGACCTCGTTCTCATTTCATGGATTAGTGAACAAGGTTAAGTTTTGGTGGTCAAGTCCATATCTCAGATACTATAAGCAATAGGTCTAGTATATTCGGTGTATGGAAGGACTGTAAGGTGTACATGTCCAACTGGCAGGTGTCATCTGACCTTGACCTCATTTTCATGGTTCAGTGGTTATAGTTAAGTTTTTGTCTTTTTTGGTCTGTTTTTCTTATACTGTATGCCATAGGTCTACTATATTTGGTGTATGGAATGATTGTAAGGTGTACATGTCTAGCGAGCAGGTGTCATCTGACCTTGACCTCATTTTCATGGTTCAATGGTCAAAGTTAAGTTTTTTGAGTTTTGGTCTTTTTTTCTAATACTATATGCAATAGTTCAATTATATTTTATATTTGGTGTATGGAAATATTTTATGATCTATTTGGCAGTCACGCAGGTTTTATTTGACCTTGACCTCATTTTCAAGGTTCATTGCTCAGTGTTAAGTTTTTGTGTTTTGGTCTGTTTTTCTTAAACTATAAGCAATAGGTCAACTATATTTGTTGTATGGAAGAATTGTTAGCTGTACATGACTGCCTAGCATGGTTCATCTGACCTTGACCTCATTTTCATGGTTCATTGGTCAATGTTTAGTTTACTTGGTTAATGTTAAGTTTATGTGACAGTTGTAATAAAGCTTTATATTTAGGACTATCAACATAATATCAATGATTAGTAAAGAAGGCGAGACATTTCAGCGTGTGCACTCTTGTTTTAAATTAAGTCATACTTTGACCCCTACTTTCAAGATGGAGGCACAGTCAAGTTTATTATCTAATGCACATTTGTTTCAGAGCACTTTGTTACTTTATGATTTTCATTGCAGAAGGAAGTCCAAGAACAAGACAGCATTTTAACAGATCTTAAAGAGCAGTCAACCGTGAAAATGAAACAGTTGGTGTCACACGAATAGTATAAGTCAAAGGCCACAGTTGATGCCATTCAGATGATATTAATACAATAGCCATATTACTTTTTTTTCGTACATGTATGTTAGTAATGTTAATCAAATTAGAAGCAGATCAGGAAATAGTGCAATATTGTTCTTTTGAGGCATGCAAAATGTTTTCTGACATTAATGGAGGCACTTTGCATTTAATACTCTGAATAATACAAAACATCTTGATTTATAACAATTTTACACTGTAGTACCAGGGAAATAGTTAAGTTTCTGTTGTGGTGAATAAAACAAATGGAGAAGATGAAAAGGGGGAAATAAAAAACATTAGTGGAAGAATGACCAACAACAGCAAGGATAAAAGAAAAAAGACAAATTTACAATTAACAGTCCACAAAATACTTCAAATAAAACTAAAGACATCACAAAACACTGGGTGAGTTAGGTACAACAAAAGGCTTCCTGTTCGACTAGTGTCAATCTTCATTGGGGGGGGGGGGGGGGGGGGGGTCTGGTTGTCTGTTTACATGTTTACATGGTCAGATTAAAAAACAATTTCTATAAAGTTGTGCATATGGAGTCAACTGTTGATTATTTAGTTTGTGTTGTATTGTTTGGTTGCCTATGTTTTGTTGTCATTCAGTCAGAATTTTCAATCGAACTGAATGTTGCCTAATGCCAAAAACTATTCCAAATTTCGTTGTAAATTCCTTTTATCTTTTCAAAGTTCTTTTTGAAGGTCAGACGCATGGTTCAGAGGTCATATGAAAGAGTGATAGGTCAAATTTAAGTTAATGGTTCAGAATTAGTTTGATGGATATTATTGAAATCTTTCTACCAATGTAGGCATTCCATGTTACATATTCAAATCAGTGCACTGTTTGCCCTGTGCCTTTACCGAATTGCTCAAAATTTTAATATATTTACACATATTTACATTTTTGCATTTTTATCCCCCACCTGGTGTGTCAGTTGAATTGCAATGTTTATTAACTTTGTTTTTTTTCAAAATCAATTATTGATTTTCATACAATTACCAGAGTGCAATTCACTGTTTAATAATCTAAAGCATTCTGGGTAATTTTTCTACAAGTGTTCACCAATACATTGTAATTGGCTAATGTTACATCCTTTACAATGTTCAATCAACCAATGATGTGAGGCTATTTTCATTTTGGGGTACAAACAATGAAATTACCCATAGTCCTTTGGGTTCTGAAACAGCAATTTTTTTAAGTATCAAATGGCTGATTCAACAGAATGAAATATAAAACTTTTTTGCCCATTAATATAAAACATTTTTTGAGATTTTCATCAAATTCTTGAATTCCACGAATGTGATTTAAAAAAAAAAAAATATTTATTACAAAGCTTATTTAAAAAATTCTTACAGGTATTTGAAGCCTAACATATATAAAAAAAAAATTTAATGTCTTATACTTAGACCCTGTTCACATTTGGACATTTAGATCGATTTAAACTAGATCGGTTCACTTTAGATCGATTTAAACTAGATCGGTTCACTTTAGATTGATTTAAACTATATCAGATTACTTTAGATCGATTTAAGCCCGATGTGAAAGCATTGAATCGATCTTAATAATCGGTCTAAACTAAAACACCAAAAGAGGTAATTTAGTTTGAATCGATCTAAAGTGAACCAATCTAACGTTAAATGTGAACGCAGAGATCGATCTTAACTAGGACAATTGAATTGTAAAAAATTTGTGCGCATGAATGGCGGCAAAATTACAAGTGCAATTAATTACAAAATGAATGACCAACATTAAAAGGCTGAAAATTAACGAAAACTTTTCGAACAGCGGTATCAACATTTGTTATTCAAGTGAAACAATAACTTCATCCATTATTTTTGTACAAGCGTATGTATCAACACATTAATTTGATTAAATATTTCTATTTATACACAGTGTTTACAATTTCATGGGTAATTAGGTCATTTCGATTGCATTTTAAATTGTAGTGTGAACGCAGTGGTTCAGGTTAGAACAATAGAGATCGTTAGGATTAAAGATAATGTGAACGCTGATTGGTTTTATTTAGATCAATTCAAATTTAGATCGATTCAAAAAATGCTAGTGTGAACAGGGTCTTACTTATTCTTAGTTTGAATTGTGAAAGTTCTACAGTTTTCTGAATTGGAATCAGTAATTGTTCTGTGATTTTATCTGTATTGAATTGATATAAATAGAAAAAGACATTTCTGTGTTCCCAATGACATGAAAAGGTGTTTATATCTTGAAGTATACATGAAGTATGCTCTGCATTGAAGTTTTAAAATGATATTTTTTATCTCGAAAAAAAAAAAAAGCACAAACTCAGAAAATACTGTCCTAATAGAGTTATTTAGGGAAAAGCTTGCACTTATGTTACAATGTCATCTATGCTTGTGCATGTCTTATGAAATATGAAATTGAACTGGATAAATTGATACAATTTGGAAAAAATCACAAGTTCATTTTTTTTTTTAACTCCTTTTTACTTTTAGAACAGAAAAATGAGTTTTTCAAAGATCAGGGGACAAACTAATGCTTACTTTGTAATGGATTGTCAATATATCTTTTCATAGCTTGGTGAATTACAGTAGTTAAAAATAAAATCTAGTGACATTAGTCATTTAGAAACGCCACCATTTGAGTTTTGACAATCATATCCAGGTTTTTCTGGTAATATTTAAAATTTTGCTTATACATGTAATATATTTCCCTTTTTAGCTCACCTGGCCCAAAGGGCCAAGTGAGCTTTTCTCATCACTTGGCGTCCGTCGTCCCGCGTCCGTCGTCCGTAAACTTTTACAAAAATCTTCTCCTCTGAAACTACTGGGCCAAATTTAACCAAACTTGGCCACAATCATCATTAGGGTATCTAGTTTAAAAAATGTGTCCGGTGACCCTGCCAACCAACCAAGATGGCCGCCATTGCTAAAAATAGAACATAGGGGTAAAATGTAGATTTTGGCTTATATCTCTGAAACCAAAGCATTGAGAGCAAATCTGACATGGGGTAAAAATGTTTATCAGGTCAAGATCTATCTGCCCTGAAATTTTCAGATGAATCGGACAACCCGTTGTTAGGTTGCTGCCCCTGAATTAGTAATTTTAAGGAAATTTTGCCGTATTTGGTTATTATCTTGAATATTATTATAGATAGAGATAAACTGTAAACAGCAATAATGTTCAGCTAAGTAAGTTCTACAAATAAGTCAACATGACCAAAATGGTCAGTTGACCCCTTAAGGAGTTATTGCCCTTTTATAGTCAATTTTTAACAATTTTTCGTAAATTTTTGTTATCTTTTACAAAAATCTTCTCTGAAACTACTAAGATGAATTTAACCAAAGTTGTAAACAATAATCATTAGGGTATGTAGTTTTAAAATTGTGTCTGATGACCCTGCCCGCGAACCAAGATGGCCGACATGGCTAATAATAGTACATAGGGTAAAATGCTGTTTTTGGCTCATATATCTAAACCCAAAGCATTTCGAGCAAATCTTTCAAAACAAAATTGTTCATTAGGTCAAGATCTATTTGCCCTTAAATTTTCAGACCATTCAGGCAACCCGTTGTTGGGTTGCTGCCCCTGAATTGGTAATTTTCAGAAATTTTTTCAGCTTTTGGTTATTATCTTGAATATTATTATAGATAGAGATAAACTGTAAACAGCAATAATGTACAGCAAAGTAAGACCTACAAATAAGTTAACATGACCAAAATGGTCAATTGACCCCTTAAGGAGTTATTGCCCTTTATAATCAATTTTTAACAATTTTCATAAATTTTGTAAATTTTTACAAAATAATTTTCACTGAAACTACTGGGCCAAGTTCATTATAGATAGAGATAATTGTAAGCATCAAGAATGTTCAGTAAAGTAAGATCTACAAACACATCACCATCACCAAAACACAATTTTGTCATGAATCCATCTGTGTCCTTTGTTTAATATGCACATAGACCAAGGTGAGCGACACAGGCTCTTTAGAGCCTCTAGTTTATAAAGAATGATTGCTTAGGTATGAATCGAGCAATATCATGTTCAAACTTGTCTATATCTCCGTCAATTCTAAACATATAATACTGATTTCATTATCCACAACTCATTTGTCAAATAGCCGTTGTCTTGCATGCTTAAAAAATGTACCTTCAACCTGTTGAATCCATCAGATGAGCATATAAAAAATAAAACTATGAATTCTTTTTTGTGTTATGAACAAATAAGTAAAAGTAATTTGAATTGGAAAAAGGTAATATAAGCCAAGGGAGATAATTTCAAATTTCTAATGACATGTATGGCTAATTGGTTCTCAATTCAAAATATCAAAGCCTTCTTTCCCTGAATTGCTATTATGCTTTTCTTGATTCTGCTGATTTGGACTATATATATAAGCCTTAATTTGAAACCTATTTCTAGTCCAATAGCTAAGCTTAACTTATAAGAGATGTGCAACTCTGAAAATCATTCAGTTTTGGTTTGCGATTGGGAAGTTTGTGAAGTTTTAAGTTGCAATTGAATAAGTTTGCACATATTGTGTGATGAATTTTTTAACATGTAAGTCAAGAATGAATACAACTTAGTAAGATGTATTTTGTTGTTAATTTATTGTTATGGTGATGGTCATTACTAATAAATAACTTAAATGGTACCAATTTTATTGCACCAGATGCACATTTCAACAATTAATGGCTCTTCATTGTTGCCCAAGGCCAAAAGATATTTTTAAAATATACATCATTGTACCAAATACTATTTTTATAAGGTACAAATGTATCAAATGCGTTAAATTACTTGTATGCATATTTATCAAATTATCTATGTTTAACTGATAGATATATCAGTCTTTAGCAAATAATGTTATCTTCTGAAATAAATTGGACTATTGTTGCATACAGAAGAGTGGAGATTAAAAAGATGGTGCTGTACAACAAAAAACTACTACAAGCATATATACATATGAGCAGTGCATTACTGTTTTGATAGGTATAATATGCTTTTCAAAATTTATTCCCGGTGTCAATAAATTGGGAATAAAAACTTGGGTTACATGTAGTAACTTAGTTTGTACAAAAAATTACAAATGGCTGTATTATCTTTTTGTGATAAATTAATTAATTGATTTGATTTACTCTATCACAATTGTGATAAAACTATGTTTTTGTTAAAAAAAATCCAAAATTTGGAGAAAAATCTGTTTGTGCTAGTATATCAACAAAAATTGATAAACAAGTAAAATATTTCATTTATGAAAGGTTCTTATATTTTAATATCAACAGTGGACAACATTAGTTTTAGAAGTATTTGAATCTATACCAGTGAATTTGTTAACGAATAAAATTTTTTATAAATCATTGTTTGTACATAAAACATTATATATTTATTGAATATTTACATTTTTATTGTTATTTTGTTTTTTGTAACGGTATTGTATGTTATATATATTTGTTATATAAAGTGTTGTGATATAATTGAAATTCTCATTTCAAT